ACTTCTAGCCGTGGAGTATATTTGAACAGTGTATATATCTATCGTAAATATTATTAGTTCTTTGTATTTGGACTTTTAGATTATTAGATTATGTATAACAACAGAACTGAGATTCATTAAATATTAAATAAATTAGATGCAATTGATTGAAGTATTTTACTTATTCTTGATAGTGTTCTTGTTTTTTGTACAGTTTAGATTGGATTGTTTTATAGGTAAGCTTAAATAAAAAGTGACGTTCATGTCTTGGAAAAATATTATATGTGGAGAGATGCATGGCCATAAATTTAGGATTAATGTTCACTAGAGCTATGTACAGAATTTGTAAATTATCTACAATGAGAGGTCATCTCACTTGTATTTATTTCAATAATGGCTGATTTAAGTGTATCAATAGTGAGGCAGGTCCTGTTGATATAACCATAACACACTTGTAGATTTGTTTAATGCTAAAGGTCTGGACCACCTTATTAGTACTTTGATAGAACATTAACTTTGAAATTGGTTGGGTTGTTTTACAGCATCTAATTCAGTTTGTATGGAATATAGCTTATATTAAAATATTTGGTATTTTTTAGCAGCTTTCCTCTAGCACTACAGCCAAAGATATGGGTTACCCCCTTCTTCTTAAATATACACCTTCTTTTACTTCTTGTATGTGTCTGGGTTGCTTGTCTTAACACCCAACCCTCTTTTTATAACCCCTGCAACCAACAATCCCTTGCCTTGCAACCCCCTCTCCCTTCATACAGTTGATTCTTGGTGTGACTGATCTGCTTTTAAGACAATTTTGCTTTTCTATTTGTATTTTATATATCTGTAGAAGTACACGATTTCCTGCTATTTGAATTATGGTGCTTATATATTTTAAAGAACTTGCCATATGTTATTAACAAGTTATATTAAAAATTTCCTAATTTTCACGCATATGCTGGATTCAGCAGTAACTATTTGATGATAGTATGACACATATTTTATGGTCTGTAAGATCAAGTTCATCACAAACTTCCCTTAGTAAAAGTTAGGTGTTTGGGGTTATGTGCAGCTAATGGAAAGGCAGATAGGGATTACAGCTTTGGGGTTAAAATATTTTGGGAAGGAAATAAGTTACCTGAAAGCATATAGAGATGAGTACTAACAGGCATCTCACTAGCCATGAAGGACCCAAGTGGTAAATACACAGACACTTTATTTACTGATCTCTGGGAGTAAAGATAACAAGCTCGTACCTCTCAACCTCTGTGAATTTTCCTCAGCCTCTTGAGATTGGACAAAGAAATTTGATTTATTCATTACCATTACTACCTATATTTATAAGGCAAAATTTATAGTAAGATTTGGATTTGTCTAAAACACACCCATCTGTTGGTGTTGCTCACCTCTTCTCAGTCCAAAAAGGTTAATTTCTCTTTTTTTTCAATGATTTATTCTTATTACTACAGATTTAGTAATGGATGTCTTTGAAACCATCTTGAAGCCAGGGGAGTAAAGTAACTGGCATTTCTTTTACTTTGTCTGCCAAGGTACCAACTTCTCATGCATTTGTATTAACTAATTGCCTTGTTAGTCATCTAGTCAGTGTTTAAAAGGTAATACATTTCTCAGATGCATAAAAAGGACTAGTCTCATCTGAAGGGGCTCAGCATACAGTACTTGAATTGAACTGGATATGACTGCTTTGTCATTTTCTGTTGAATTTTCTTACTTAGACTGGGTATATTTTTGTTATATTTTGTAATATTTTTTTTTAGAATTCACTGCTGTTCATTTGTCATTGAGAAAGAATGTCTTTTCCATTTTGTTGTGTAGTGTTCTATGTATATTGCCAGTTCACCATTTCTTACCAGAAAGTTACTTATATATAAATTAACAATCTCAAACAAAAGGATACCTGAGGTGATTGTAGATTCTGAGTGTCAATTTGATTTTTCCAATGGTGACAAGTTTTCCTGCACCTTAGCACACCATGTGTTGGATACTGCTAATAGTCAACTGCTTGAGTAAAAATTAAAAGCATTGGCATCATATATCTTAGGCATACTTTTAAGCAGCTGTCACTCCTCAGTCACTGCAGTCATGGCCATACAAGCAAACACAATTTAGAGCAGGTTTAACAATGCATGACCTAGAGGTACATGTCACATAGAAATGAATCCAGTCATGCCATGGCATTGATGTCTGTGCCCCATGTTGGCAGTGCATTGAATTTCTTGATTTGGGGTTCTTTAAACACAGTAGTTAGGCCTATATATTGCTTCATGGGTTCAATATGTAGCCTAGCTTTATAATTGTTGAGAGAGTATAATTATCAAATCATTAAAGATACTATATAGATTATTTATATACACCTTTCTTAATATTAAGTCTCTTCATTTACTCTCACACTATTTAATTTTTCTATAGTACCATATTTGTAATACTTCAAGCATAGACACCGTATCACTAATAAGGATTTTCATTCTAGGGTCGTCATGGAGAAGGACCCAATATCCTGCTCTGACGAAACCACCAACAGATCAAGACCAAGAACGAAGAACAAGAAGAGAAGAACCTCATCCTCTTCATCCTCGTCCTCCTCAGCGTCACCAAATCACGTAGAAGTGAAGAAGAAAAGGAAAAGAACGAAGTCAGCGTCCTCAAGGTCCTCTTCTTCGTCTTCCTCCTCCTCATCTTCTTCCTCGTCCTCTTCTTCATCATCATCGTCGTCCTCCTCCTCTTCCTCTTCTTCATCATCATCATCTGAGTCATCAGGATCAGAGATGGAAGTGAACAGAGTGAAACTGAAGGATAAAGCACTTAAGAAAGCTCTTAAGAAGAGAAAGAAAAGAGAAAAGGTGCTGAAAAAGAGACTTAAGAAGTGTAAGAAGCAAGCAAGAGAAAAGCAAAAGAAGTCCATCAAAAAGAAAGTGAAGAAATTGAAGAAGAAGTTAAAAAAGCTAAAGAAAGATAGGAAGAAAGAAAGCAAGAAGTTGAAGAAGGAGAGTTCCCACGAGAAGACAAAGAAAGATTCGGCTGAACAAGGAAAACCTGACTCCAACAAGGAGAAAGGGCAGAGGCACTCCAAGAAGAAGCCAGAAGTGGTGGAGAATGGCTCAGCCATTGGCCCAAGTGTCGACATGATGATGGCAAGCCAAGCGACGGCACCTATGACAAGGGAGGATTGGGAGAAGCAGGAGAGTGTCCTACGGCGTGTCTATGATCAGGAGAGTGGGAGACACAGGTAGGTGTACTCATATTAGACTAAACAGAAGTATGTTATTTTTGGCCAGAAAATGATTTTGTATATACATTTTCTGAATGTTCCCCTCACTTTTTTTTTCTTTTCTTTTCTCTTTCTTTTATGTATGATTTTCCCTCTATCCATTCCTACCCTCACTTGCACGAGACAAACCCAGTTATTGTTTATGACTTCTATTGTTTTTATTGTAATTATTATTTTCATTATAATTCCAGATTAATAAAAGGATCTGGGGAAGTAATGGAAGAGTGTGTGAGTCGCGACCGCCATCGTGCCATCAACAAAGCTGCAACTCAGGCCGATGGTGAATTCTTTCAGGTCTCGGTGAAGTCCCGAGCATCAAAATAGCAGCAGCATTTTAAAGCTGGGAGGTTTTATTTTCATCACAGATGTCCTTTGAATGAAACAAGTGATACTGAAAGCTTTTGCTAGACTGGATTGAATTGTTTCTTTTGTTATGTTTGAATATATTGTTATTCAGCCTCAAGAAACTGTTGTATAGGTTATATATTTGGGGGCCTTGTTAGCTTTCCTCACTTTTTCCTCTCTCCTGTTCTTTCTGTTTCTTATTTTTAATGTGGTAATGACTTTATGACATGTCATTATATTTTTATTGTTCATAATCATTGCTCATGCCATGAATGTTGATGAGTTGTTCATTTATTTAATTTCTTTAGTATGAGGTGGAATTTAGGGTTGGATATGTTTTTGTTAAAAGACAAAAATATTGGTTATTTTTATTCTCACGTCATCATTCTCGACACATATGACTCATGTGGTGTAGACTCACTCATGAATATCTCTTTTTCCATTATCGTAGCTTGAGGTTTTTCATGCAATGTAACTGCTCAAATGACAAAAATTACTATGAAAATGTCATTAATTGGAAGCTTCAGGCTATCTCTTACTTCTGTTTTTTCATCTAACATATTGCCCTCATTCTGTCACAAAAAGGTTTGAAACTGAAAATTTGGAACAGTCACCAATTTTTTTTTTTTTTTTTTTTTTTTTTTTTTTTTTTTTTTTTTTTTTTTTACCTGGTATCCCCCTCGCATCTTCTCAAACTCCCCATTACCGCTCTTCTCCCTCTCCCTTGACATTTCTTTTCTCCTTTCTCCCTCTCTCTCTCTCTTCCTCTTTTTTCTCTCTCCTTCCCTCTCTTCCTCTTTTTCTCTCTCCCTCCCTCTCTTCCTCTTTTTGTCTCTCCCTCCCTCTTTTTCTCTTTTCCCTCTCCCTCCCTCTCTTCCTCTTTTTGTCTTTCCCTTCCTCTTTACCTCATTTCTGCCTCCCTCCATCTCTTCTTCATTTTCTCTCTCCCTCCCTCTCTTCCTCTTCCTCTTCCTCTCTCTTTCTCATTTTGTTTCTCCCTCTTCTCCCTTCCTCACTCCCTATGTCTCCTTCCACTCTTTCTCTCCTCCTTCTCTTATTCTTTCTCCTCTCTCCCTCCTCTCTGCCTTTCTCTTGCTTTGTCTCATTATTTTCTTTCTTTTTTATTTATATTTGATACTTATTGATGGGCTATATGAAACGATTGTACGACTATAACAGTTACTAGCCATATGTCCGTATGCACTTTTCACATGTTTGATATTTACATACACCAAATATTCTTGAATACACAAATCTGTGCATTTAGGAGTTTATGCTGAAGAAACACTAATGCTCGTATGTAATGGACCTGAATTGCAGTATTTTCTTATATAATTGTGATATTTATCCATCAGTTGATATAATGGTTACAGGAGATTTTTTCTTTGCCCAG